AGCAGTCCCTGGGAATTACGTGCAGCAGGTGTAAGTCCTATTTCCTCTATGTTGGGAATTACATTTTTCTTCTATATACAGAATAAATTCTGCAAGGCCCGTGGCGACTGAAAATTCTGCAAGGTTTTATGTACATGAAAAGGTAAATTTCATATAGTTGCAATTGCAACCAGAGAATCCATGGTTTGTTAGTTTGTTTCTCATTATATGCATGATCTTTCCTTTGAAATTCCAATATTTATATTGTAGAATTGCCAGTTATAGAACATATGACAAGGTATTTTCAGTTGTGATATCAGAGTGTCCTTTTTGTAATTTTCATTTGTAGCACTGAGTTGTGCAGATTTATGATGGTCAAAATAATGTTGGCTAAATCTATTAGTAGAGTTATTTATTCTGTTCTGCACACCTGAATATTCAGAGTTATATGCATGCAACGACGTCTACATGTACTCGGTCGATGATCACTACTCTGCAGTACAAAATTTCTATGAGCACACTTAAGCAGAGTTATATGCAGACAATTAACAGTAATAGCAATTGTTGTTATTTTCAGAGCAGTTTTAATTTTAAAAAACATGTACTTGATTAATCTTTTCTTTTCTTTCATGCAACGAATAGAGTATACACAATATACTACAATTTGGTGTAACCCACACAAGGATTCAAGAAGCAGGGCCAAACAGGACTAATGAAGACATAGCACAGTACTGTTCTTCAGGATATGATGTTTATTTTTGCCAAAATTATTAAGAGATGAAGTAGTTTATTAGGTTTCCATTCCTTATATTGTGCATTTTTTATGTGACTATTCTCGGTACATATATTCTTAAGAAAAACAAGATAGTTGTTGAATGCTCTCTGAAACATAGCATAGATTTTTCGTCGAAAATAATACTCTATTTACTTTGAATGTGAGTTCTGTTTTGCTTTAAACAGCTGAGTGCATTCTGAAATATTGTCTCAAAGAACAAGGTGCATGTTGAGTATTTCTCCTCCCTCCCTCATCTGAGCGAAGAAGACATGCTGGAGTTGGGCGACTTCCACACCTCCCTCATCGACGGCGTCTACAATATACTTGGCAAAGTCGAGGACGTATACAAGATTCTCGGCAACGACAATGGTGTCTCCTTCCACCTTTTCAACAAAACCACACTTGGCGCCAGTAAGCACTCCCTCGCCCACCTCTCTTCCTCATGCCTCCAACGTGTTGTGCTTTCCGCGGCCGCTGAACGCACAACGCCGCTGTGTAACCACTTGCTCCAGTACATGTGTGCATTTCAGTTTTCTACTCGGCATTCTCTCAACAATCTCAAGTTATTTGGTGATTGGTTCTTTGACTTATAGGCTAAATCACATGGTTGAACTCACGATCTTCTAGAGCCAATATTTGTGGAGCCTACGGGGTTTTTTTTTTGAAAGGGAAAATAAAAATCACTATGTGAGGGTTTGTTACAAAAAACATAATCTTAGAACTTTCATAGTTTAGCAAGTATCTGGTTCTGAACTTTCGAAGAGTGCTTATAACAGTAATTTCTTCAGTCTTTTGTATCATTTTCCAGGAATTATTGCAAATACAAGTATTACACCTCTATATATTATATTATTTGTAATTCCGATTTAACAACGATTCTGTTGTAGTAGCATCCTTGTAGTTCACCATTGGGATGTGCACATTTAGTCTTTATTAGTAATACAGTTTCTTGATTTTCCTTGTAGTTCACCATTGGTATGTGCACATTTAGTCTTTATTAGTAATACAATACTTGATTCTTGAGTTCTGAACTGATTCATGACAGTAATGGTACGAAGTGAAAAAGAATTCTTGCTGTGATATGGATCCCTGTTCTGATTTTAGTGATTGACGCCGCCGTCTTCCAACACATGACGGCTGCAGCCCCATCCACCAGGCCACCTACACAGTGTCGCACCTATTAGCCAGCAAATCGCATGTGTTCATGTGTGTTGTTCCACCGAGATCATCGATCAAGTCATAGCTATCTAGCTTCCACGGAAGCATCCACCTACCAGCTAGCTTGCTGCTTGTACGTGTGCATCATCTGGGACAGATCCGCCGGCTAGCGCGGCTAGCGACCGCTGTGTACGTACGTGCTCTAGCGGTAAGTACGTAGCCAACACAGACCGCAGCCATCTATACCAGGGATCCTCCGCCCTACCGAGTCTTGCAAGCGATCATTGTAACTTTGTAAGAAATATTTCTGTTTGATACTGTCATGCGTTGTTGTTGCACTGTCACAACCATCCATCTACACACCAAATATATGTGAACAAGATTCATTGGGGTTCCTATTATGGCACTGAGTTGAATCGACAAAGAAGCTTCCATTCAGCATGCTATGTCAATGGAAGAATATCTGAAGCAAACCTCTGCTACTTCTCTGTTCTCTTTCATTTGTCGTGGGCAGCCAAATTGGTTGAAATAGTTATGGCCAGGGAATGTGGCAGCAGCCAAAAAGGGGTTTCTCTATGCCACCCCTCTGTTCTCTTTCATTTTCTATGGGCAACCATGTTGCATCTTATAGATTAGTGATCAAGATGTAAATATATCATTTGTGTCTTTACGTTACTAAAACTTTGTTGAGAATTGATTAATTTTAGATTTGCTTCTAGAAATAAATTTACATCTGAAGAATTGGAGCAATTATGGCACTGAGTTGCTGAGATAGTAGGTGTAGGACTTGGTGATGTAATAATGATCAAAATTCATACACACAATATTGGACAGGATAACAGTATACATGCTTTCCTGAGATGATTGGTCTTAAGCATAAAAATGCTTCCATGTGCCAATGCACAATAAAGAGTTCTATGTTTTTGTACCACTTTATTTTGTGCATTAGGTCTGATAGTATATGTTAGTATATGTGCCATTTCAGTTTTCTAAGCATAAAAATGCTTCATGTGCCAATGCGCAATAAAGAGTTCTATGTTTTTGTACCACTTTATTTTGTGCATTAGATCTGATAGTATATGTTAGTGAATTTCATTTTTGTTGAAATAGATTACAAGTGAAGAGGATTTCAATTATTTTCTGTATGTTATTGGCTATCTTGTCTATACATGTGAAATTTGATATGCAATGAGTAACAACCAACCCACAATGAATAGGATGACATAGTAATGCTACGAATAATCCATTATCAACAAAAGAACGTTCTCAATCTTTTTAAGGCCCGTGGCAACGCACGGGCACTCTACTAGTATATATAGTGTTACTATTCATCACCTAGGGTGCAGAATAAGTTATTCTTCATCCGAGGTAATATTACGATCATTTCATAATTAAATTATGTTTGGAATTCAAATAGTTACATTCATATTGATTCACTACGTAAAATTTGGCATAAGAAAAATAAAAATATAGGTCATAAGACAAGAAAATTTACAGTTTATGTGTATTTTACACTATATCTTTACGTTTGTAATTTTACATAACATAAAATATTTTTTACAACGATTATATATTTTCTTACAGTCTCTTTTTATGTCGGAAATAAGACAAAACTTACGGAACGTAAAATTACGATGAATTGATGGTAAAATAGAGGGGGTGACGAATAACTATTCCTCATCCAGGGTGACGAATAGCGCGACCATATATATCTAGCCTTGTCATCATGATCACCATTGTCTCTACTTTTTTCGAAAACGGTATGACCAACTGATTAAATCCTGAAACTGAAGCTTGATCTTTATTAAAATTGATCGTGGTGTACTTTTCAGCTGCAATCAAGTCTTGGATAGAAAATAAACGTGTTTGGACGATAACTCACTGTTTTGTATCAATTTGAGAAATAGATATTGATGGGGTTTGTAGTAGCGTGTCTGTTTTCTGAATTTCTTCTCCATATCACTCATTCTCTTGACGTGTCTGTTCAAATGTCCCTAATGTTCTGATTTTGTTTTCCATGTTTCTTAAAACTAACAGGTGGTGGTGTCTAATCCTTGATGGTGGGGGTCTCATTTTGGGGGAAATCTGGAGAAGTCTTGGTTTGATGGAGTTTTGCTATCAACTTACTGTATCTCATTGAGGGAAAACTTGGAGAATTTTCAGACTATGGGTTCACAACAGAGCATTGCAGTCAAATTGCTAAATCAGTCAGCAAGTAACGGGCATGAGCATCGTGTATGTCGTGTTTTACTAGCTAGAAAATACATTCCTAGAAAGGATTGGTGCTTGGACATGTTACTCTTGTGCGATATCATATTTACATATCTTTACTTAAACCATCGATGTTGCATTGACGATTTGCTCCAAATAACCATTGACGCTGCATTGCCGATTTGTCTTGTTTTGTATCCCGGGAAAGTCTCAACCCATTTGGATGTATGGTTTGTGATTAAATAGCCTTTTGAGCTCATATAAATAAACATGTTTATTCAGAAAACGATACATCCAAATGGGTTGATACTTTCACAGAATACAAAACGAAACATTTATGATTTATTGATTTTTTTTTCAATTTTTTAGATCACTTCAAAATACTTAGTTCAGTCAATTTTGTACGTCGGATCTTTAATGGATGGCTGATGAAGGGGGGTAAGTCACGGTGAGACTTGGCTTCGTGAAGTCACCGAAGCTGCGTCCAGATAGAGTTGCTCGTCCATTGGCACGTCTGCGGAATATGTTTTTTGAAGAAAGAAAAAGGTTAGATGCCCAACATACTACTCCCTCCTTTTATAAATATAAGTCTTTTAGAGATTTCAACAAATGACTACATACAAAACAAAATGAGTGAATCTAAACTCTAAAATATATCTACATACATTCGTATGCTGTAGTTCATTTAAAATGTTTAAAAAGATTTATATTTAGAAACGGAGGGAGTAGAATTTTGGCGGGAGAAAGACCACTAGTAGAGTTCTGGCGGGAAAACGGCAGCCGATGGGAAACAGCTGCTCAAACGCGCCGTTCCTTGGCTTCTCGATGAAGCCTCGCTAGTCCAAAATGCGAAAGCTGGTCCGTGGACTACACCACAATGGACCGTATCACTGACGTGTGGCCCCGAGAGCTCTCTCCCGGCCGTGCAGCCGGTGGAAGAACCACACGCCACTTTCCTCCTGCGCCCCCCCGGAAAGTGGTCGGCGTGCACCCAGTCCATGTGAGCCGGGACCTGGAATCCTCCCCTCTCTCCACCCCAAGGGAGAAAATTCCCCACTTCAGTCTGCGCACCCAGCGTCGCCCGATGCCTCTCCGCCGCCGCCTCCTAGGTCTGTCCGGCGGCCTCCGCCGCTCGCTCGCCACAGCCGCCGCGCACCCCCCGTGGGCCATGATCAACCGCTCGGTGGAGTTCGTCGGGGCGGCGAGCGCGGACGTGCGCCTCGCGTCGCCACCGCACGTCTCCGAGCTATGCGTCCCGGAGCGCCTCGTCAAGACCAGGGGCAGCCCCGGCCCCGACGGCGACGTCGTTCAGTCGCCCGCCGGCTCCGTCTCCGCCGCGAGCGGCGACGGCCTCCTCCTCCTCTCCTGCCTAGACCTGCGCTTCGTCGCCCCCGGCGCCGCTCGGGTGCGCCAGCATCTCTACGGCCTCGACCCCACCCACGTCCCCAGCGTCACGCGCTTCGTCTGCAACCCTCTCACCCGCGAGCTACGCCGCCTCCCGGACTCCGGCTCCGACCCTGAGGCCGACGTCCTGTGCGGCCCCAACATGGGCCTCCTCACCCAAGCCGATCGCGGGCACGGGCCGCCTGGCAAGTTCGCCGTCGCCGACCTGCAGGAGGGGAACCACATGCTCCGGTTTCTCTCGGAAACAGGCAAGTGGGAGAACGTCGCGCTCTCCCCGTGCCAGGTCCCACTTGCGCGGCCAATGGACATAGACCAGGAGGCGCTGGCATTCGGCGGCCGCCTGTGGTGGGTCGACTTGGCCTGGGGCGCAATCTCTTCCGACCCGTTCAGCGACCGGCCGGAGCTCTCCTTCGTCGAGCTGCCGAGGGGCAGCGTGCTGCCGGCTGGCGTGCAGCACGAAGCTTTTCGCCGAGGGAGCCCGCTGCGTGACGCTCAGGGCAGGGTGTGGTGGGAGCAGGCGCCCGTCAGCTACCGGCGCATGGGTGTCAGCGAAGGGCGGCTGCGGTACGTGGAGGTCTCTCAAGGGGAGCCGTTTTCTCTCAGCTCCTTCGTGCTCGACGACGAAGGCAGCGGCTGGACGCTGGAGCACCGGGTGGTGCTCAACAAGCTCTGGGGGAGCACCATGGGACTGCCTTTACAGGAGAGGGGGTCGACACGCATTGTCCTTATTGACCCGCTTAATGCCAATGTCGTTTACCTCACGGCTCACAGGATTGCCGTCGTCGCCGTGGACATGGACAGGCAGGAGGTGATCGGATGTTATCCCTATAGAAACGACCTCTGTATGCCATGTGTCCTTCCACCGTGGCTTCGATCGACCCGAATCCCTTCTGCAGGTATTCACCCACTCGTTTTAGTTGCTAGATTGCATATTTCTCAGGTTTAGTTTCACATTTTGATGTCAATGCATGATATACTTTTGTCCAATAGACATATTACTTTTGTCTCTACATAACAAGATCACTCGAAAATGACTGACAAGCGCGAGTAGTAGCAATTGTTTGTACACTGTGTTTGTTAACAATTGGATCTCAAATAAAAGTTTTCTGGATGAAAGGTCCTTGGCTCCTACCTTTTACAGAAATCCCAAAGAAAATTGTTATTGGTGATTTGTATGAGAAGAGCCAATGCATTGATCTAGTGGCACTTCTATCACAATTCTCTTTTTGTGTTTAGTACTTTGGGGTGGACCTGAAGTCTCAATCTCAAATCTCTTCTCGACTTGAAACTTCCAACCTTTGGTCATCTCTACATGTTATCCTGTTCTGGAAGTGTTTATCTTAAAACATATCTACGTAGTGTCAGTGATTTGCCTTTTGAACCATATTTTTTTCCAAGTTTTGGATGCTTTCTAGCTTACAAGTCCGAATAATCTTATCCTGGTTGGTGCTGCTGCATGTTCTGAGTCATGAAGCTGTCCATATATTCTGAGAAGTGAGAACTGTTTCGTTAAATGACATGATGTATTTTCTGAGTTATGAAGCTGTCCATATATATTCTGAGAACTGTTTCGCTAAATGACATGCTGTATTCGACCTGATTAGAGTCCTCCTTTTCGATAAATAGAGTTATTTGCAGGCTTGTAATTTACACCGCATGTTCTACATTTAATTTCTGCCTACACAATTTCATTTTAGAAGGATTTAATGATGTTATATCCATTTTAATAATGCGTCTACACTACCCAAGTGTTAAACAAATATATTCTTCAAATTGCTGTGTTGTGGCTTATGGGTACACTCTGATCAGTTCTAGTTAACCTGCTCTAAGTATCATTCTTTTCTAGTTCAATTTATTGTATCCAATGCACATAAATCTATACTGTTACAAATTACGTTGTCTTAGTGTTGCTATTCTTCAAATTCTTGTGCATTGATCAAATGAACCTTTTTCAGGCAAGAAGTATGTTGAGAAAAACAAGACTCTGGCAGATGTTCTAGTTCGTTCACACAGTCACTAGAAGGTACCAGACATTTAGTGAATCCCTATTTACTTCCCTTCTGATGCTTCATTATTGATTGCTAGTTGTATCTCATCCAGCCACAACTTTAGGATCCTGCATTCACATGTATCTCTTACTCAGTTCATGCAGTTTATGGATCTGGAAAGCGATGACATGCATTTATTGCCGATTACTACTACTACTGATTTTCTCTGTTTGTCCAATGTATCTGTTATCCTTCCTACTACTGCCTGTTTGTTGTTGGTTGAGTTATAATTGGTTTTTAGTGGAATTAGTAATATTTGCTTGGAATGGAAACTAGTAACATATTATACTGCGTAGAATGTTTATTTTGTTGAAGTGTGCTACCCGAACTTGTTCTTCCATTCATATTTTTGTGGCAGCGACTTGTGCTAGCTGCCAAAAAGTGTCATTTGGTGTCTCAGCATGGAAGTTTGATCCTGGTGTATTAGTGTTTCTGAACTAGCAGCCATGATCTTGTTCATCATGCTGAGCACTGTACACTGAAGGATTTTTCACCCTGTCATCAGGATGACTGTTGTCTTTTCTTTCCCTGAGATATGTTCCCCAACCATTTAAAGGCTGGAACTGAAGCTTGATAACTATTAACAATTGGTCGATGTGTAATTTTCGGGTGCAACCAAAAGTCGGATAGAAAATAAACATGCTGCCAGACCTTCTTTCTATTTAAGTTTCGGAAATGCGCATAGGTTGACCATCGTAGCATTTTTGTTTACCCAAGATTGTTTCTCAGGGGAAAGTAAAACTGGGATACCAGCAGAAGCTGGACAGCCCCCATTCACTTCTCATTGTTCAGGCAACAAAAGATATCTAAAGAAGTTATCCGAACAACAGTTCACTTAACCGAGTTAATTAGTAAATACAGTGTCCATGTAACCTTAACCCCCATGTTACTCATACAAAAGGAAAAATGTGGTGCTTGTATCTAATATTCCTTAATTTTATCCTCAGGTTTCTTAAAACTAAGGTGCTGGTGCTCTAATCAACCAGGAGGCTCATGGTGGTAGCTTAGTATGCTGGGGGGAAATCTGGAGAAGCCTGTGTTTTTGGAGTGCTGATCAACTCACTGTATCTTGGATCGTAGGAAATGTGGTACTTTTGTTAGACTTTCAGTTCGCTCTCCAGTATCTGCTGTAGACACCAGTAAGATAGTTCATTCGTCGCAAAACTGGTGCTTCTGCAATGTTTACTCTGATGAGAAACCTTATTTAGGGACCTCTGCTTCTGCCATAGGTGCTGAACTGACTATTTGAAGGAACGGTTCAGTATTCGCTGCCCTAAGCTAATATGTATAATTTTGTGCCAATCGGTCGTGCATTGAACTTGTTAAGTGAGAAGGATGAAATGAGGTTGCTTTTTGTGCCCTGATGGCTCTTAGTTCAGCAGGATGAAATGAGTATGTGAAGTGCACATCTTACCATGCGTATGTACTGTGCTACACTTTTGCTGTATTCGTTTTTTTCTTAATAATTGTTACTTATTTTGCTACACTTTTGCAGTTTTGCTGTATTCGTTTTTTTTTAATAATTGTTAGTTATTTTGCTACACTTTTGCTGTATTCGCTTTTTGTCTTAATAACTGTTACTTATTAAAAAAATATGATAACTTTTATCTTGAAGGGGAGGAGCAAGAAATAAGCGACGCCATCTTTTGTTTTCAAAACTTGAATGGGTCTGTCTCACCTTTTTTTTTGCGGATCTAATGGGTCTGTCACACTAGGCCTGGATAGCCTTGCACATGGGCTCTTGGTTTAAGGGAGGCCCAGGCCTAGAACACTTCGGCGGGAAAATGGCGCCGTTGAGCTATTCCAAACACGGATGGGGGTTCGTGGACTATACGGCAAGGTTGAAATCAGCTATATGTGTTTTTGTAAGAAGAAGAAAAAGTTTATGTAAGCTGTAGCGGACAAAAAAAGCTAGAAGGCCCAACACCAATCCCTTCGAAATTTGGCGGGAAAAAGGTGACGTCATAGGCATGCCTCGGCTTCTGCGAGAAGCCTTTACAGGCGTACGGCCATTCCTAATACGGAAATCAGTGCATAGACCACCACCCAATAGACCGTTTCACTGACCAGTGGGCCCGGGAGACATCTCCCAGTCGAGTACCCGGTGGAACGACCGCAGGCTGTTTTCCTCCCGCGACCCCCCCGGTCCATGTGAACCCTCTGCTCTCGCCCACGGCGCACCGAGTCCACAGTCCACACCACACCACACCAAGCCAAGGAAATTCCCCACCGCGATGCCTCTCCGCCGCCGCCTCCTAGGTCTATCTGCCGCCGTCTCCGGCGCCCTCCGCCGCTCGCTCGCGACGGACGCCGCGCACCCCCCGTGGGTCATGCTCGACCGCGTGGCGCAGGTCGTCGGAGCGTGGAGCGCGGCAGCGCGCCTCGCCGAGCCGCCGCATGTCTCCGAACTGCGCCTCCCGGAGCACGTCATCGAGGCCTTCCCCGCCCCCGACAGAGACTTCCTGGAACTGCGCTCCGGCGCCATCTCCGGCGCGAGCTGCGACGGCCTCCTCTTCCTCTCCGTCCTAAACGCGCGCTTCACCCCTCCCGCCGCCGGCGAGCGGCGCGCCGGTCGGGCGAGCACGCACCCCGCCGTCCCCGACCCCGCCCACGCGCCCCGCGTCACACGCCTCGTCTGCAACCCTCTCACCCGCGAGCTATCCCGCCTCCCGGACTTCGTCTCCGACCCCGAGTACGATTTCATGCTCGCCACCCAGATGTCCATGGGCGTGCTCACCCAATCAGACCGCGGGCAGGGGCCGCCTGACAGGTTCGTCGCTGCCTTGCTGAACGGGGAGCAGATGCTCCGGTTTCGTTCGGAAACAGGGGAGTGGGAGGCCGTGGCGCTCTCGCCGTGCTTTTTCCCACTTCCGCGGCCGCGGCGAGTGACGCTGGACCAGGAGACGCTGGCATTCGGCGGTCGCCTGTGGTGGGTCGACCTGTCCTGGGGCGCACTCTCCGCTGACCCGTTCAGCGACCGGCCGGAGCTCTCCTTCGTCCAGCTGCCGAGGGGCAGCGTGCTGCCTGAAGGCGCGCACGGCCAAGCGAGGAGCTTGGGTGTCATCGACTGGCATATGCACACGCCCTTCAGGTACCGGCGCATGGGTGTCAGCCAAGGGCGGCTGCGCTACGTCGAGGTCTCTCGGGACGAACCGTTCCTTCTCAGCTCCTTCGTGCTCGACGACGGGGGCAGCGGCTGGATGCAGGAGCACCGGGTGGTGCTCAACAAGCTCTGGGCGAGCCACATGTCCCTACCCTTACAGCAGGGGGCGACGACACGCATTGTCCTCATTGACCCAGTTAATGCCAACGTCGTTTACCTCGCAGTTGACACACTAGCCGTCGTCGCCGTGGACATGGACAGGGAGGAGGTGATTGGGAGTTATCCGTACAGCGACACCGCCGCCTGCATACCATGTGTTCTTCCACCCTGGCTCGGATCAAGCCGGATCCCTTCTGCAGGAGGTGACTCGCTTGTTTAGTTTGCTAGATTACATACTTTTCAGCGCAATATGCATAATACTTTTGTCTACATAACCTGATCACTCAATAATGACTAGTACACGTAATTAGTAACAATTGTTTCTTCACTGTGTTTGTTAACAATTGGATGTCAAATGTTGTTTTTATGGTCGAACGACCCTTGGGTTCGGTTTCTTATAGAAATCCCAAAGAATATTGTTATTGTTCGTTTGTATGAGAAATGGCAATGCATTGATCTAGTCACACTTGTATTATGTTCACATTTTGTATTAGAATGGTGCAGGTACTTGGGGGTGGGGTCTCAAGTTCCAATCCCAATTTTTTCCTAGACTTCCAACCCCTGGACATATCTACATTTTATCCTGATCAGAAAGAGTTTATTTGGTTTTGATCAGAAATTTAGCTAGTTTTGGTTGCTTCGTAGCTTACAAGTTCGAGTAATCTTATCTGGTCGTTGCTGGTGCAGACTCTCAGTTACGACTTGTCCATATTTCCTGCGAACTGTCGCGTAAAATGAAATGCTTGGACCGGATTAGAGTCCTCCTTTTTTGAAAAAAAAAGAGTTATCTGCAGGCTTTGAATATGTAATTTACACTGCATGTTCTACATTTAATTTCTGTGCCTCTATAATTCGTCTATTGAAGGATTTTATGATGTTATATCCATTTTAATCACGCGTCTACAACCAAGTGTTATCGTCAAAATAAATATATTCATCAAATTATGTTGTGGCTTATGGGCACACTCTGATCGATTCTTGTTAACCTGCTCTAAGTATCATTTTTTTTCCTAGCTCAACTTTTTATATGCAATGCACATAAATCTGCACTGTTATAGATTATATTGTCTTAGTGTTGTTGTTTTCAAATTCTTGTGCGTTGAATAAATGAACCTTTTTCAGGCAAGAAGTTCGTTCGGAAAAACAAGACTCTGGTAGATGTCGTAGCTTATTCCGACAGCTACTACAAAAGATGAAGGTACCAATTTAGACATTCAGTGAATCTATATTAGAGTCCTCCTCGTTGGTTGAGTTATAATTGGTGTTTTAGTGGAATTGGTAATATTTGCTAGGAATGAAGACTTGTGACATATTTACTCTTAGAATGGTTATTTTGTTGAAGTGTGCTACTCCATTCATATTCTTGTGGCAGCAACTTGCGCTAGCTGCCAAAAATTGTCATTTGGTGCCTCAGCATGGAACTTTGAACCCGGTGTATGTATTAGTGTTTCTGAACAAGCAGGCATGTAACTTTTGATCCCGGCGTATATGTGGTACTGTAGATATAAATAGTTTTCTCCATAAATTTGGTCAAAGTTTGACTTTTCAAAAAAATCTGTATGAACTACATTATGATTTTCTCTGTTCGTCGAACATTCCTTAATACTGGCTTGTCGTTGGTGTTTTAGCTGAACTAGTAATATTTTTTGAATTTTTGAACTAGTTATATTTACTGGGAACCGAGGCTAGTAACATACTCTCTTTGTTGAATGCCTACTACAGTACGTTCAAGTGTGCTACCTGAACTTGTTGTTCCCTTCATATTCTTGTGGTAGCAATTGGCTTGGCTGCGAACATTTATCAGTTGGTGTGTCAGCATGGATCTTGTATCCAGGAATATTAGTGTTTCTGAACTACTACTCTAGTAGGCATGAAGGATGTAGTCTTGTTCATCATGATGATCAATGTATACTTGCATGAAGCATATATTGCCTTGTCATGAGGACGACCGTTATTCTTTCGCCTGAATTATTATCATCAGCCAATTAGAGCCTGAAACTGAATCCTGATAATTGCTAACAAATCGATCGTTTTGTGATTTTCTTTTGCAACCAAGACTTGGATAGAAAATAAACATGTTGCCAGATTGACAGTATTGTTACAGTTTTGGAAATGCAGATAGATGGACTACATTAGCGTTTTTTTGTTTACTCAAGATTTTTTTTTCTTGGTGGAAAGTAAAGCTGGGATACCAGCAGATGCTCGGCACACACCCATTCTCGAAAGCCGAATCACATAGCGGGCAACAAGAGATATCTAAAAGAAGTTATCCGAACAGCAGTTCATTCAGTAGTTTCATTTTGCTGTTTTTGCGTATCACCCATCCTCTTCACATGTTTATTCGAAATCAATCACCATGCTTATTACAGTCTCCCTATAATTTAGATTCCCACGTCAATCATACAAATAAATTTTTTTTTTGCGATGTGTGTGTCTCTGATGTTCCTTATTTTTTTCTCCTCAGGTTTCTTAAAGCTAACAGATGCTGAGTAGGAAGCTGATGGTGGTAGTAGCTTACTGATGCAGGGGGCAATCTGGAGAAGCCTGAATTTTTGGAGCGCTGGTCACGATCAATTCACGGTACCACGTTTGCACAGCGTTTGTGCTGTAAACACTAGCAAGACGATTCATTCCTAGCAGAGTTGATGCGCACACATGTTTACTCTGATGGGCGATGAGGAATCTTGTCTAGGGATTTCTGGTTCCGTCATAGGTGTTGAACTGACGATTTAGTTGGAACGGTTCAGCGTTGGCTGCCTAAACTATGCATGATTTGGTGCCAAATGATTTGTGTGCGAGATGTCCATCTTTGCAAGCATATGTTGGAGTCTGCGCTGTGTGCTGCAGCTTAGAAGAAACGAATTATTTGGTTCTTTCTTTTGTTATAACTACTTCTTTTAAAGAAGATTGTACGGCAACTGCTGGATCTACTACGACTGTATCACGGGAGGAGGAAGAAATGAGGGACGCCATATTCTGTTTTCGAAGCTTGATTTTGGCCACCTTTTGTTTTTTAGAACAAGGAAGCTTGAATGGGCTGATCCGTATAGGGGCTCCTGGTTTTAGGGAGGCTCAAAGGCCCGGAGCGTTTCGGCGGGAAAATGGTGGTGCCGTTGAGCTCAGCCGATGGGCAGCGCGCAGCTGTTCAAACTCACGCGCTCCAAATGGCCTCCTCCTCGGCTTCCACAAAACGTCGCAGGCTGTACGGCCATACCGAATGCGGAAATCAGTTCGTCACCGGTCAGCTCTCCCGCCTCCCGCCCGCCCTCTTCTACGACTACGAGCCTCATGTCAGAAAGCTCATGTGCGGCGAGCACACGGGCCTACTCACCCGAGCCGGTCGCGGCCACGACGGGCACGGGCCGCCCGACAGGTTCGCCGTCGCCGCGCTGCAGGGGGACCGGATGGCCCGGTTTTGTTGGTGTAATTATGCATCTCTGGGATGCCATTAGCAGGAACAGATTGCATCTATATCACCTAAAACATAAACAGAGAAGGGTTTAGGGGATCATTACGTGTCACGGCAGTGGACATGATCGCCTGCTTGGTGCAGGCTTGATGCAGAGGTGATGTAGTCGAGGTAGAAGTCCTCCTCAACGTCCTGATGCCCTCAGGACGCCACCGGCACTGTCCGGGGACGGCAGCGGCGGCTGGAATAGGTCTTCTCGTCGCTGCAGCGCTCCCCCTGATCGGATGGGGTGAGAGAATATCGGGAGGGGAGTGAAACCGTACGTGAATTGTGATTGCGCAGGCTGCCAACCCTCTCCTGTTCCCTTTTATGTAGCGCTGGCGACAGGGGACCTAAACCATCAGTTGGTTTGGGTGCCCCCGATCAGGGCGCCTCAGTTGGGATAAAAAGCCCACGTACGTTGGTGCGTGGGGCCTTTTCCTTTAACGTTATCTTTCCCCTTTTTTTGTTAGACTAATAGATCTAACTGGCTTGTTTAAGCCGCCAGATCAAAACCAACATTCTCCCCCTTGATCGTTAGGCTTAACTTCATTCGCCCATTCTACATAGGAATGATGTACCAAAGTGAGGTGTTACATCAGCTCAAAACGCTATAGAACCTCAACACTTATAGTACACCCGCCTATTTCGAAATGGAAAACATTTTACTAATTGGGAAGTGGTTTATTTTAATGGTCCTCTTATTCCAGAATCATCAGGCCTCCAGTAGTCCCATGCCGGCAACATGCTCACGAAAGATACTGGGTGGTAAGCCTTTTGTTAGCGGATCCGCAAGCATATGCTTCGTTCTTATATGGTTAACATCAACTGTTTGATCCTGGATTCTATCTTTCACAACACGATACTTTATGTCAATGTGTCTGGCAGCATTACTTGACCTGTTGTTACTCGTATAGAAAACTGCTGGTTCATTATCGCAGTACAATAAAATTGGTTTAGATATGCTGTCAACCACTTTAAGTCCGGGTATGAAATTCTTTAGCCATACAGCCTGCCCGGTGGCCTCATAACATGCTACAAATTCTGCTTGCATCGTAGATCCAACAGTTAACGTTTGTTTGGAGCTTTTCCACGATATAGCTCCTCCCGTGAGTGTGAATATATAACCTGACGTGGATCTCATACTATCCACACACCCGGCAAAATCAGAGTCTGAATAACCAACAATTTCTAGGTTATCAGTTCTTTTATATGTAAGCATGAAGTCCTTAGTTCCTTGCATATAACGCAAGACTTTCTTTGCGGCCTTCCAGTGGTCCGGTCCTGGATTTGATTGGTATCTGCCAAGCACCCCGGTTACAAAACATAAGTCTGGGCGTGTACACACTTGAGCATACATGATGCTTCCAACAGCTGAAGCATAAGGAACCGACTTCATCTGATCAGTTTCACATTGGTTCCTCGGACATTGAAATGTCCCAAACTTATCGCCCTTAACTATAGGAGCAGGTGAGGGTGAGCACTTATGCATATTGAATTTTTTCAGTACTCTCTCAAAGTATGCCTTTTGAGATAGTCCTAACGTTCCTCTGGACCTATCTCGATGAATCTCGATGCCGAGGACATACGAGGCTTCACCAAGATCTTTCATATCAAAACTGGATGACAGAAAATTCTTGGTCTCATGCAGCATATCCTTATCGCTACATGCCAACAATATGTCATCAACGTATAGGACTAAAAATGTGAACCTACTGCCTTTAAACTTAACGTATATGCAGTTGTCCACAACATTTTCGGTGAAACCAAAAGTTTTGATAATTTTATCAAACTTGAGGTACCACTCTCTTGAAGCTTGCTTCAAGCCATAAATTGATTTCTTTAGACGACATGCTAAATGTTCCTTTCCTTCCACAACAAAGCCTTCTGGCTGAGCCATGTAGACATCTTCTTTTACGTCACCATTTAGAAATGCCGTTTTAACATCCATTTGGTGTAGTTCCAGGTCGTAATGAGCTACTAATGCCATTATGATTCTGAAAGAATCCTTGGTTGACACAGGAGAGAAAGTTTGTTTATAATCAATGCCTTCTCTCTGTGTATACCCTTTTGCCACTAGCCTTGCCTTGAACCGTTCGACATTCCCTTTGGAATCATACTTGGTTTTGTAGACCCACTTGCAGCCTACTTTCTTAGCTCCATCGGGAACTTCTACTAAGTCCCATACATCGTTTGAGCCCATAGATCTCAACTCGTCTTCCATGGCAACCAACCATTTGGACGAATTTTCGCTTTTAATGGCTTCCTTATATGAGGTTGGATCCTCCACCTTTCCCATATCATTCATGTCCTCCATCAAAAAGGTGATATAATCATCTGATATGGCTTTCTTCCTCTCACGCCGTGGTCTACCCATGGGCGGAGGTGGTGGTGGAACATCATCATTTTCATTATTTTCTCGGAGATCCTCATTTGTGTTTGGATTCTCATTATTAGTTTCTGGATCACCATTCGACTGAGAGACTAAACCGTGAGATTCAGGATCATCAGATGTCACATTTCTTCGTATTGGAAAAACAATCTCTTGGATAGCCGGGGATGGTACACAAACCCGCTTCTCCTCAAGATCGATCTCCCTTAAATTTGTGATCTCATTATTCTCAAAAAATACCGCTTGTCTAGTCTCCACAAACTTGGTGGTGTGATTTGGACAATAAAAACGATATCCCTTTCCCCTATGAGGGTATCCTACGAAGAAACAGCTAACTGTTTTTTGATCCAATTTCTTAAGTTGTGGATTGAAAACTTTAGCTTCAGCAGGGCAACCCCACACCCGTAAGTAATTCAAGCTCGGTTTCTTTCCCGCCCACATCTCGTAAGGTGTGTTAGGTGCTGACTTAGTTGGAGCAAGATTTAGTATGTGTGCAGCTGTCTTTAATGCCTCTATCCAAAGGCTTACTGGTAAACTCGAGTGACTAAGCATGCTTCGCACCATATCCATAAGGGTGCGGTTGCGGCGCTGGGCCACACCATTTTGTTGTGGTTCACCAGGCATTGAGTACTGAGCAATGATTCCATTTTCAGATAAGAACTTGGCAAAAGGTCCAGGAATCTGCCCATAAGGAGCATGCCTACCATAATACTCCCCCCCGCGATCAGACCGTACAACTTTGATTTTTGCGTTCAGTTGATTTTCAACCTCCGCTTTATAGACTTTGAATTTCTCCAAAGCTTCCGATCGGTCACGTATGGGATAAATATACCCATAGCGGGAAAAATCATCTGTGAATGTAATGAATGAATCAAAACCATCTACAGACTTAATATTAAGGGGTCCACATATGTAGGTGTGAATTAATTCTAAAACCCTTGTGGCTCTAACTGCTCCTTTCTTAATTGTTTTTGCAAATTTTCCTTTAATACAGTCGACACATTTGTCTGCATCTGAGAAGTCTAATGGGAGGAGTATTTCATTTTTAACTAAGCGTTCCATTCTCCCCCTCGAAATGTGGCCCAAACGACAATGCCACAATTTCGAAGAATTACTTACTCCTTTCCATTTCTTCTCAACATTAATTTCATCACTCACATGCATAACTGACTCATTATGAAGAGATAACATGTATAGTTGGCCTCGTCTAACACCGATGCCTACATTCTTATTACATTTGATCAAAGCAAATTGTTTCTTGCCAAAATGACACTCATACATATCATCATCTAAACGAGAAACTGAAATCAAATTCCTACTTAAGGTAGGCACATAAATAACATTATTCAATCTAAGAGTGTGGCCAGTGTGTAGCTCCAACGTGAGAGATCCCACAGCTTCAACATCGGCCTCAACTCCGTTCGCAACCTTAAGCTTTCTTGTTCCTCCTCTTATGGTTTGGATCGTATCGAATCCCTGCATAGAGTTAGCAACGTGAGTGGTTGCCCCTGAATCAATCCACCATGACGTTATTGAAAAATCAACATAAAGTGATTCATCTACAAAAGTAATTTCATCAATACCTCTTTTGTTCATCCATTTTAGAAAGCCTGGGCAGTCCCTTTGATAGTGTCCCTCTTCTTTGCAGAAGTTACAAGCATTTTCTCCAGCAGTGGAGCTGCTAGGAGCAGAAGAAGAACCACCGGCTTCTTTACCCTTGAATGCCTTAGGGTTGAATGGCTTAGTGCCTTCTTTCTTGACTTGCCTTTTCTGAGGCTTAGGGAAACCTTGTCCGTCATGCTTTCTCTTGTTAGAGCCAACATGAAAGACATGGTCTTTTTTCTGCCTCATGATCCTTTCTTCCTCCTGGACGATCCTTGCGGTCATCTCAGAGAGTGGCCATTTTTCCTTTAGAGAGTTATAGTTGACCTTAAATTGTTCAAACTCTTCAGGAAGAGACTCAAGAATAATTATGACAAGAAGGGCTTCACTTAAAGAACACTCCAAAGCCTTAAGCTTGGTGAAAGCATTTACCACCCTCAATATGTGCTGCCTAACATTTCCATCAATAGTGTATTTCTGAAGAAGTTTAGCAAAAAGCTCATGAGCATACACTTTGTCGGAGCCTTTAAATTGCTCCTCCATTTCAGTGAGGAAATCTTTAGCAGTATCTTTCTTAGGGAGTGCTTCAGAAATGTCCGGCGATATTGTCGCTTTCATGATGAGAAGCGCAATATGGTTGGACTTATTCCACTTTTCCATCTTAACATCATACTCCTTCTTGAGTTCTGCATACCCTGTGACACCCGCCACAGGTGCCACAGGTTTTTCTTCCCTCAAGGCATAGTCAAATTCATTACAACCCAAACATAATTCGACTTGGGACTTCCAACGAGGGAAGTTACTCCCCGTAAGTGGTTTGATCGTGTCGGACCGGAATGGAGCGGAAGCTGAAATCATCATAAAAGTTCATAAGTAAAGTTGCATGATTATAAATTTACATTGGTAAATAAACAAACATGTCAAGTATTTAATTTCAACTCCATGTCAAAACACCGTTGGGCAGAAAAAAACATGGAATTAAAATATCATAGGGATGACTCATAATAATAAAACAACGTTGGTCCGAATTAAAATAAGAGTCATTTCATTCTCAATTTAAACATCAACATAAAAAAAACATTATCATTATTTGATGTCTAAAAAAACTTCATCATCCAAAAACACATAATAAATCCTGAATAAAATATCTCGTTGGTTCAATTTTACCCAGAATAATAATGTGTTTATTACATTTTTACGCATTTTCTGGTTTAAGCAGTGCAAATCATAATATTTATTAACTTAAACGCACTGGAAAAACAGAAAATCGCGACAGTGATTTTGGCCCAAAATACCTCACAGCTACAAGTAAAACGGCCCAGCCCAGCAGCGAAAAACGTTAAGAGGAAAAAAAACGCGCTGGGCAAAGGCAACCTGGGCCGAAGCCCGTGACCGAAAATGGCCCATTAATGCCCGAAGGCCCGAGCCGGTGCTCCGCGTCGCTGAGAGCCGCTCGATCGAATCGGACGGCCGGCGCGGCTTGGAGCCCGAACAAAAGTGCCGACCGGTAACCCTAGTCACTCCCCCCCCCTCCCCCCGCATTTCTCGCTCGTGAGCGGCGACGGCATTCGACGGCGGCCTGAGGCGCGCCGGCCATGGCGGCGCGGCGGCTGCGCTCGCCGGAGGAGCGTGCAGCAGGATGAATCCCGCGCGCTCCCCCGTCGAACGTGGCCCCGGCGGCAGTGCTCATGGCGCATCAAGGGAAGGAGGATGGGCACACCGGCCACCGTGGCATGAAGGGCGACGGCGACCCGCGCGGCGTCGGCCACACAGGTGCGCGTCCATTCTAGCCGCGGCGGCAGCTCAAGTTCTTTTCGCGCGTCGTCCCGAGGACGGCGGCGTCACGGCGTCTCCGCCCTCGCACCGTGGTGGATGCAGTGCGGGCCCCGAAGGGAAGAGGCGGCTACGCAGCGCATTAGGTGAGGATTCTCCTCATTCTCCCCCAAAATCGTATTCATCAGTGCTTAATTGGTGAAAAAACATGCCTAATTGAAAAAATTAGGGTTCTACCGAAATTGGGGATTTATCTAGGGTTCTTCAACATGGGGGGTTTGCTACTGTTGATCCCTCTGCCTTCTTATTTGCTTATCAAAAAAAAACCCCGGAACCAGTACTTAAACATGATTGATTCTAATTAACCGTGGCATAACCATGAGCATTAAATCTTAACTTAGATTAATTAGAATTGATGAACGTAGGTGGCAGTACTGATCTGTAGCACATTAGAATTAAAACATGATGATTTACAGAGGGCATCAAGACAGTAGCATGCATCTTAGGGCTAACCAGGTGCTAAAACTTTCAATCTTTGATCATGAACCCTAAACCTGACTTGATCTAAACTTGATGTTGATCTACAGATCAATAATATAGAGACCTATTGCAATCAAACTTGGCGACTGATACCATTGTTGGTTTGGGTACCCCTGATCAGGGCGCCTCAGTTGGGATAAAAAGCCCACGTACGTTGGTGCGTGGGGCCTTTTCCTTTAACGTTATCTTTTCCCTTTTTTTTGTTAGACTAATAGATCTAACTGCGAAAGTGCTATTGTGAGCTCGAGCTCACAGGCACCCTTTGCTACAATACAAACAAAAAATATATTTAAAAAGTTCAAAAAAATCTGAATTTTTTTGGCAACAAACATTGATATAATTTTCACATGTGTACAAATTTTCATGACAAAATGACATTCATGCAGGTCTCAGCAAAAAAAACAAAATCGATGCCCCAAAATGCTTCCAAAAACAGTTTTTTTGGAGCATGATTTTGTTTTTTTGCTGACACCTCCACAAATGTCATTTCATCACGAAAATTGGCACGCATGTAGAAAAAATATCAAAGTTTCTTGACAAAAAAGTTCAGATTTTTTTGAATTTTTTTACTATTTTTTCGGATTTTACTGTTCATCCGGGATCACTGGTGCCCGGGATCAATTCCTCCGCGTCCATCTAACTGGCTTGTTTAAGCCGTCAGATCAAAACCAACAGGTTTCTCTCGGAAACAGGCAGGTGGGAATCTCTGCCGGTCTCCACGTGCCAGCTCCCGCTGGAGCGGGCGATGGTGCTGGACCGGGAGGTGGTGGCCTTCGGCGGCCGCCTGTGGTGGCTGGACGCGACCTGCGGCGCCATCTCCGCCGACCCCTTCAGCGACCGCCCGGAGCTCTGCTTCGTCGAGCTGCCGAGGGGCAGCGTGCTGCCGGCCGCCGCCCCACGGGACTGTCCCGATTGCGGGGACCCCTGCGGCGGCTGCGGCACATCGAAGCACCGGCGCCTGTGCGTCAGCCAAGGGCGGCTGCGGTACATCGAGGTCTCTCAAGAAGAGCCATTTGTGCTCAGCTGCTTCGTGCTCGACAACAATGGCACCGGCTGGACGCTGGAGCACCGGCTCGACCTCAGCCGCTACGAGACTCACCGGTACGGCCACCCGTGGCTACCCTTAAAGGGGGATAACACGCCACAAGTTGGGTTTCTTGACCCACTTACCGCCAATGTTGTCTACATGTCGGCCTGCATCACCACTCTTGAGGGTACGCCACGAGTCGTCTTCGTCGTGGACATGAAGATAGACCTTCCGTTTCGGAGTTATGCGTATAGATCGGGCGAACCCTGCTTCGTACCTTGTGTTCTTCCGCCGTGGCTTGGATCGAGCCAGATCCCTTCTGCAGGTTGTGACCCGCTCCTACTCTGTTTTTTTTTCCATCTTTACATGTGCAAGTGCAATGCAGGTGTTGCCAAGAACTGTAGATTTTCTCTGAGGAATTTGTTTTCTGCATCTTACGGGTAGGATTTGTTGATTCTTATGTTGGAATCGTCCAATATACATGATATTTTTGTCTCCCATAGCTAAATAACCACTCAAACATTAGTAATATATATACCATGTGCTTGGTAACTGTTGGTATCACAAAGAAAAGTTTGAAAGGGGATTAGTTTGATTGTTGACTGGTGATGTGTATGAGAAAGGGCCCGTTGATCTTTAACTAACCACTAGGAAATGGTAGCATAAATTGCAGCCATGGATTAGTATGTATCAGTCTTATCGAAAAGCACAACTTATAATTCCACTTTTGTTCCTTTTCTGTTCTTAATTAGGCTTAAAATGGTGCTAGATTCAAACTGCTTAGGACCTCCAGTTCTCAGTCCATTCATTAAGTTAGAACTTCCAACCTTTTGTCATTTTTAACCTGTTGGCCTTGGGCATAAAGAATTTTTCTGAAAACATATTCATTGTAGTTTCAGTGATTTAGCCTCTGAACAGAAAATTTGCAACTATTTTGTTTGCTTTCATGGTAATCACTATAGCTGACAAGTTCGAATAATCTTATCCTGGTTACTATTGGTGTTCATGACATTAATCGTCAGTCGCTCATCTCTTCAATCTTGACTGGGAGGTTTTGGCCTTCCATTGCTCCAGAAAGCTCATCAATCATGGGAGAAATACGATAGGCCTTGGCCAGTGACTTTGACTTAATTAACTCAATGAATGACTAATTTCTAATCCAAAACAGCATTCTCCTTCTTTGGTACTTCTACAAGCTAGAATGCTCTTATCTAGAACGTGATTATAGTTTTATGCTGTTTGTGACTTTCCAGTACACAATGCATGTTCTACATTTCATTACCATCTCTCAGTATTTAGAAATGGATTTAAATATGTCGAGTCCATCTAACCACTCATGTACACTATTCAAGTGTTACCTTGCTGAATAATTAGATCATGTACAGTAATTATTTGTGCTATGGGCCTATGGCTTATGGGTACACTGTGCTGAATAATTCATAACCTTCCCTAACTATTAGGGCTTTTTTTAGCTCAACTCATGTATGCGATGAACAGAAATTTGTTGTGTTTTGTTCAAATTCTTGCACATTGATCAAATGAACCTTTTTCAGGCAACAAAGGTGTTAAGAAGAACAAGAGTTTGGCAGATGTTCTGGTTCGTGCAGACAATCTGCAGAAGAGATGAAGGTACCAGTGAATGAATCACCTCTTCTGTTGCTTTCTTTTAGCCGATGCTTCTTTATTCATCCAGTGTCAGTTGTATCTGATCAATTCACATGTATAGTTAGGATGCTGCATTGTTGTTACAGTACAAGTATCTCTTACTCAATCCATGTAGTTTATGGATTGAGAAAACAACGGCTGCATATTTTTGCCATTTACTAATACCATTTCAGCCAGTTTTCTCTGTGCCGTCCAACATATTGTTCTACTTAATACCAGCTTCTGGTTGGCTGAGCTCTAGTTGGGGTTTTAGTGGGACTAGCAATATTTTGCGGACTCGAGTCAAGATAATTAACATATTCACTCCGTAGAATGATTATTATTGAAAGCGTGCTACCTGAACTTGGTAGAATTGGGGTGCAGCACGCCGATGGATTACTAGAGTCGGGCGCTGGAGTGTCATGTGTGCAGTATTTTCCTTCTTTCATTCATGTTCTTGTGGCAGCAACTTGGTGTTCCCCAAAAGTACTGGTTATCGTGTCAGAATTGGCCTCCCAACCTTCCATCCAGGTGTATTAGTGTTCCTAATAGCCGGCACAAAGGAACTTTTCTATCTGGGACGAGCAATGTTTTGGGGACTCAAGTCAAGACTACTAACATATCCACTCCGTAGAATGATTATTATTGAAGGCGTGCTACCTGAACTTGTTCTTTCATTCATTATTCTTGTGGCAGCAACTTGCTGCTGCCAAAAAGTACTCTGGCTGTTGTGTTTCTAAACTAGCCGGCACATAGGATGCCTAGCATCGTCCATTTCTGGAATACTGTACTAGAACCTAGCCTTGCCATGATACTCCACTGTCTTTCCTTTTCATGGAATGTTATCACCAACTGATTCAGGGGTGAAACTTAAGCTTGATATCTCTAGACATTTGGTCATGGTGTAATTTCTGCTGTAATCAAGACTTGAGCAGAAAAAAAAATGGTGTCCTGATGATAACTCAGGTGTTTTATTTCAGTTTTGGGAACACATATTGATGGACTATGGTAGCTGTTATGTTTACTCAAGAATTTCCTTTGACTGTGTTTCCATTTCGCTCAATCTCTTCACCTGTTTACTCAAAAGTGTCCCTAATTTTTCCTCTTCCTTTTCAGGTTTCATTAAACTAACAGCAGCTGTTGCTATAGTAAATTAGGAAGCTGATGGTGTGGTATCTTTGGGAACCGGAGAAGTCAGGGTCTGCTAAGAGTTTGCCGATCAACTCGCCATATCTTGTCTTGGTGGTGATCTGGGAGTTCTTTCAGACTTCGGGTTCGTGGTAGAACATTCCAGTAGAACTGCAAAATTAGTTCAGCATGCAACAACTATCATGAAACATCATCGTGTTCTTGTATGCCTTGTTTAGTAGCAAGACATTGCATCTGCAGGAAAAGGTTGATGCTTCTACATGTTAACTCTTACGATAACTCTTATATATTTATGGATCTATGCTTATCTCACCAGCGCTGCATTGAGGATTTGTTCGAATGGATCAGCATTTGCTGCCATATCTTATACATTTTCATCACCAAAGATCTTGAGCTGCAGGTGTAACCTGCACATGATGGTGCAGCCTCCGAAGAGCATGAATAACCGGCGCACGGAGCATCTCCATCAAGCCGGTGTCGTGGCAGTCCAAACAAGATACTGCCTGCAATATCTATACATAGCGGAATTCTTGATGCTTCCATGACGATTACATCCCCCAATCTGTCCATGTGTTGCTCATATATAGTATTTCTGACTATGGGGCAACCTTTGCCACTACATGGTCAATTCACTGTGAGTTAGACAACCGTAAATCTGTGAATCTTGAAGATTGCATAACAGCACATTATTCATCTGTTCATTTTCTTCAAGAGAGCCTTATCGATTCTTTACAACATTTCAAAGCAATACAACAACAATAGAATTCACACCTATAAATCAAAGATGCACACAACCAATTTATTATAAACCAAAGAGCAGTGTGACAAACCTGTAGCTTAACAAATAACAGGAAAACAAAATATCTCAAACATTTATCAAGTGGTCCATGGGCGAGAGCTTAAACTTAAACCCATGCTTAAGTTGGATCACATAGTAGCATTCATCATGTTCACGGAATAGCTAAAGCATTAGCCCTGGAAAACTTCAACATCAGTAGGCAAGTTGATTCTCCTTAGCAGATTGCTGTGTCTGTCCATGCATGGCAGTTTGCAGCTAGCACTGTCTAAACTTATACGAGTTGTTATGCACAAAACTTCAGTCGATTTTTAGACAAAAGGCAACCTTTTCACATGCTTTAATGAAATGTACTCCCACCGTCCCATAATACAAGAGCGTTTTTGACACTACACTAGTGTCAAAACGCTCACATATTATGGGACTGAGGGATTAGCTAGAATGCTTAACAAGAACAGAGACAGGTTCTTAACAAGACATAACACAACTCTCCCTCACCCATCAAACTCGAAAACAAAACAAAACAAAAGCCAACACCAAAATAACAATCTGAACTTCCATGCTTGGATGGCCTGCTTGATATTTATGCTTCATCATCGCCATGTCCAGCTTCACTTGATGCTTCAGCCACAACACCTGTCCCTGCTAAATGGTGTACAAGTCAGTAGGATGAAACCATGCATCTTAAGGTCTGATACACATTCACTGTCTTATTTTGTGGCACAACAACTGAAATAGATTAATTAACATATACTCACAACTAAATGTAAAAAACTAAAAATTAGTAAAGATACCTGGTGGACTGTAGAAGCTAAGGTAGGGATAGAGGGCCCATGTAATATCTTCTTGCTGACACAGCTCGTTGGAGAGCTCCTTCAAGCTTAGTGACTTGAGATCGATCATATAGGTGCCAAGATCCGTGATTGCAAAAACAATGACAGTGCCCTCGATGGAGCCAACCAACTCCGTGGTTACCTCGGGATCGCCAACGGGGAGAATAGTCTCGAGGTTGATGCGGCTCCGTCGTGTCCATGACGCAAGTCCATCAGGATCCACCTCCCTCCACCAGATGGTGAGGTCGAAATTGTACAGCTCTGCGAGCCCAAGCCGACCGTCGTCCGATGCCATGAGGATAGGGGCGATGGGGCACCGAAAATATATAATAGAACACCTGCACCCAGGCCCTTCCTATCTAGCCATCCATTCTGCGCTTCGCGATTCGTGCAAACACATTTCTCTTTTTTGTTTCTCTCGCATAAAACATGTTTTGAAGTTCAAACCTTTGCAGCGTGGCAAAGCTTTCTATCTAGAATCTAGGATAAATCTTTCAGATTTTTTGGTCAAAAATAATTTTTTTGTATATTTATTTTTGACCAAAAAATCTGAAAGATTTATCCTAGATTCTAGATAGAAAGTTTTGCCACGCTGCAAAGGTTTGAACTTCAAAACATGTTTTATGCGAGAGAAACAAAAAAGAGAAAATTTCAGATAAAAAGTTAGTTGTGTTGCACAGATCTTAAAGTAATATTGGACAACTAGGATAGAAGGGCCCGGGTGCAGATGTTTTAAAAATCCACGTCCGATGGGGCACCCCATTGAGCACGGCAGATGAATGTCCAATAGACAGTACCCAGCCAAGTCATACATGAGAGTACCATTACTATGGTCCCTCGAAATGGGGAAATAGAGCATGTCTCCAACGAGAACACTAGGCATCGTGGTGAAGCTGATTTCAATCTCAACAAAACCAACATCCAGAGTGACCGGAGAGCTCCAGTTACCCGTCTCCGACGAGTACACGGAGGCAGTGGCGACCCTCGCTTCCTCGTCAAGGCTGACGAAAACCACAAGGGATGGACCCAAATGGCAGTCACCGTGCCTGCAGCCGTCCGCGGCACAGAGCACCGACGCAGAGCTGCTCGTCCCCGGCATTTCGGGGCAGCGCAGCACCATCTGGCTGCCCGTCACGGGCTCCCAGATGACTAAGAGCGGGATGTTCGCATCCCTATCGAAGTACTGGAGGAGGACGCGGCCGTGGCGGCAGTCCTCCATGGAGTAACGACTGTGCAGGAGATCGGGCTCGCACGGGCGGAAGTCAGTGGTGGGGACGAACTCGGTGCACAGCCAGCTGTGGAGAAAGCCGAGCATTGGAGGCGTTCGGTGGAAGTCGCGGTACCGGCGACGGAAGCCGCAGCTGGCGAGGAGGCGGCGCCACGGCTTGCACGCGAGGGAGGCGCGGAGGAGGTTCCCGGGATCGTCCGGCGGGAGGCGGATGAGGATCTCCTCCACGAGCTCCTCCATCTCGCCCAGCTGCCGCACCAGCTTCGGCGGCATCGTTCGTGGCCGGTGACCGGGGATCGGGAGGCCCTAGGGTTGTGGTGGTTTTGGGGGGATTGGATTTGAGAAGACGAACGGAACGAGCGAGAAAATTTCGGCGGTTCTTCATATTTTCAATCTGGCGCCTCTTTGTTTTTAATTTTACATTTTAGCGTCTCAATCGTTACAAAATTACTGAAGTGGGCACAACTCATCAAATCAAAATATAAAAAGGACTAGAGGCCGTGGCAAGATTTTTTTTTGCCCCGCATATATACAAGAACAGGAGGATAGCACACGCTTTGACATGTCGATCTTTAGTTGTGAAATTATTGGCTAGTGACAGGCGCCGGGAGGCGGGCCGAAATTTCGGCCGGTCACACCGCGCTCGTCCGATCTAATCTTGTTTAGCTGTCTGATGTGTCCACCTATTTCTCAAATCTCTTCCCAGACAAGTCAAACACCCGGGGGAGAATAGAAATCACATCGTGGATCCGTGCTTGCGGAGCCGCGGGTCGCCTGTGTTGTCTTCAGCCACCCAACTTGCCAGCCACCCGCGTCATCCACACTCGTCGGCCTCCCTATGCCATTGCGCCGTCGCCGCTCGTCGTCGCCGCTCACCGTGGCAGCTCGTCGGTTGCAATACCGACGTCCACTGATCTGCCCCTTCCTATGCAGCAATGGCGGGGGCGTCGGTTCCAGCATCTGCCGCAACACCATTG